CCTACAAATTTTAATTAGGTTTCAGAGAGAGCCTACAACATTGTCATGAGGGTTTAATGCTCTGCAGACAGAAAAATGCACTGGGCTCGGACAGATTTATAGTGATTGCGTTCCTTTGCAAGGGTAAATCCAATAACTGGGTCTTGCTTTTAAAGATGCATCTCGTTGGAACTGAACCACTCCACTATTAAATACTGGTGGAAGCTTATGTAGATACACATCTCCTTTCCTTTGAGAGCATCCCCAGGGATGCTGCATGTGGGCATTGCTCTCCCTAATGCAGAAGCAAACCATCCTAGGGCTTGCTCCAGTGACCTGTGGTGTCCTAAGGGATCCCGTTGGTCCTGCTGCAAGAATTCAGGCAGGGTCCCAGGCACCAACCCTGCAGCACTCACGTTTTTGAAGTCATGGATCTCCAGGATTTCCTCACTGCCATTCCCGCTGCTGAAGGTCTCTGTCCTGGCCAGTGGGTCGATCTCCATCACAATCTTCTTCTTCTCACCGTGGCTGAAGAACGTGTGTTCCATGTCGTAAACCTGTGAGGGACAAAACCACACAGGGGTCGGCACAGCCTGACCTGAATTCATCCTCTGGCTGGTGCGTGAGCAGGATGGTGCTGGGAGCATGACCACTGGAGCTGGGTACCCTGCATCGGGGCCACTCTGAGCCAGGATGATCACCTGGATAGTGCAAGGAGAGGCAGCTCCCAGGCACCAGGGCTGGGAAGAACGTCAGGATGTGAGTGGACGTGTGTGCCAAGCCTGAGAGATGCTCATCTCACACTTGCACCAGGAGCTTTGCCACAGCTCAGCCTTTGCTGGTGCTTTCTGTGGCATGTGCCTGTTTACATGCGAGGCTGAAGTGAAGTCCTGAGCCCAAGGGACCTCACTTTCTTGTTCCATCACTGGCTCCTTTTCTCCATCACTGCATCCCCGGCTCCTTTTCTCCATCACTGCATCCCTGGCTCCTTTTCTCCATCACTGCATCCCTGGCTCCTTTTCTCCATCACTGCATCCTCAGCTCACTTGCTCCATCACTGCATCCCCGGCTCCTTTTCTCCATCACTGCATCCCTGGCTCCTTTTCTCCATCACTGCATCCCTGCCTCACTTGTTCCATCAGTGCACTTGCTGTTTGTTGTGGAAAAGCCGAGGTAAAAGCCTCTCTCTGCCTGAAGGAGATGAGGGATTGCCTGTGGATCAAAGACCTCCTCCAGGGCTGGTGAAGAGCTTCGGGGCGTAGCAGCCTGCTTCCCGTCGGCACTCATCCCTGCGGGAGCCTGGGGGAGCCGTGCCGGGGGAGCAGCCCTCTGCTGCTCTCAGGTGCTCACCGCACGCAGCCAGCCCCGCAGCGCTCCAGTCTCTGCGGATGCCTGACCCTTAAGGAATGAGCAGTGGCGGATGCTATTTGAAGCACAAAAGTGATCCCGCGGCGCAGCGAGAGCTGGCGAGCATCAGGGAGTCTCGCTTCCCGAATCTAATGGTGTCATGAGGAAGGAAAGGGCTTGTGTAAAACCCCTCCAATCCACAGCGAGGGGGGGATGATGGAGGTGCAGGGATGGGGATGCTCTATTCATCCTCTGACATGGCTGTGGAGCCAGGGAAGGAGCACCCCGGCCCTGCAGCCCCAACCCAACCCCCTTTTCGGGGTCCCCTGGTTCTTGCACATCCCTCCCGATGAGGGGGTTCAGAGCCTCTCAGCAGTGTTTGCAGCATCAGCACCCCCTGTTTTGCAGCCTGGATGCAGAACTGGCCATGCAGGAGGTAACTGCTGGGTACCTTTATCTCTGCTTAAAACTGGAAGAGCGATGTGCGCCTGGGCAGCCATGAGCATCTCCTGTTAGTCAGCGGGAGGCTTTTCTAAAGATATATAGCCACCGATGGATTTTATAGCATAGCAAAAAAGAGCCTGCAGCCTAAAATGGCTGGGGGAGTGCTGGTTCTGCCTGGCAAAATCACACAGTGCCATAAATCATGTCTAGGGGGTACGATCCTGTGTGGCACCTCGCCTTCGAGTGTCTCTCCATCTATGAAGAATGACTTTTGCCCTTGCAGAGGTCAGGTTATCCATTTGGGCTTTGCTGGCTCATGCTGCTCAGAGAGCTGTGAGGTATGTTACAAGACTAAAGATGACACTTGCTGTGTTGGATGCTGCTGAGCAGAGGCCACCCCTCAGAGGAACAGGTCTTCTTTAAAGCCTTTTTTCCACTCCTCAGTTGCATGAAGGGAACTCGAAGGCGTTTTTGTTCTTTAAAGAGTTTGATTCCCCTTGGATTAGTTTTGAGTGTTTGGAATTTCCAGCCAGAGGATTCCTCTGGCCCAGCTGGAGAAGGCCATGAACACCAAGGACATGGCGATGCCGCACACCAGGAGCATCCCATGCAGCTCCGCTGCAGGAACACCTTTACTTCCTCAGGCCTTGTGAAGGGCTTCCAGAAACAGCACCAGGCTCCGTCCTCCTCCAGTGCCCACCAGTGAGGACGTCGAGGGCTGGAGCTATGAGGCTGCAGTAATGGCTCAATGGCTCAGAGAGAACCTCCCCTCCAGGGGTTAAGAACTGGCACGGACCCTGCTTTTCGAGGAACAGTAGAGGCTTTATAATGGTCTTGGCAGGAGCCCGGAGGCACATATGGCTTTTATTGCTGCTTCTTTTCTTTTAGGAGGTATTTATTTCTATTTGCTGATAAAAAGACCAAGTTTCCAGCGAGCAGGGTGCTTCCTCTGCCCAGCGGGAGGGCAGCTTGGCCGGGATGCTGTGGCTCCAGCATGGGAGGAGAGAGGAGATGCCGTGTGGGAAAGGGGCCGCCTGGTCTGTGCATGGGAATGCTGGAGATGCTCTTGAGAGCTGGCAAAACCCGCTGGTGTCAAGGTGCAAAGCGGGGCCTCCTCGATGGGCACGGGCAGTCAAAGGAGGATGAGGAGCACCAAGCAGGCTGTTGGCCTCAGTGCTGATTCTATGATTCAAGGTTAAGTGATTTGCCTGGGGTATGGGATGAAATAAAAGGCAGGATTGCCAAGATGCTGGGCAGAGATGTATGGGAGATGTGCAGCCCTGCTGCTGCCCCCGACACGCTCAGCACTTAGAGCAGCGTCTGTCTGGGGAGCTGGGAATAAAGGAGCCCAATCCAGTTAGCAGGAGCTCCTCCAAAAGCTAATCCGTCTCACCGTCCCCTCACATTGCAGACACATTAAAGTAAGAAATATAATCCATGACAATCAATCACGGCTGCGTCCTGGCTTTCTCTCTTCTTTATGCGGTGGCATAATGACTTTTCCACCAGTTTCTGGCAAGATAATTGAAATGAAATGGAAAATATTTTCTTACTTGTCATGAAATATGCTGCCGGTGAAAGAAGAGTAACTTTAACTCTTCGTGGCGTAGCTCCCATCCCCTCTAATTGTCAGTCAGGGAAAGAATGCGGCGACAGAGAGAAAAAAACCCAGTTTGTGTAAAGGAAAAGCTATTTATGAATAATAAAGAGATTTCTAAAAGGCTCCTGAATACTTGTGGTCTAAGGAAATGCATCTTGTGAAGTTGCTTGGGTTTTGGGGTGTAGTTAAGTTTCAGTGGGTTGGAGAGGGGGGATAGCTCTGTCTGGGGAAGCAGCACACTGCAGTGCTGGGTCAGAGAGCTTTTACTTACTTTTCTGGGCGCTGGGTTCCGGAGGTATTTGACACCAAAGAAGATCAGGATAAGAGAGATGAGCAGCACGCTGAAGAGCAGCCCGCAGACCTGGTACCTGCTGCAGGTCCTCGTTCGCCTCTTGGATACTTCTGCCTAAGTAACGACAAACAGCAGTGGCCAGAGCTCTGCTGGTGACCCAAGGAGGGACACGTACACATGGGTGTCAGACACTGAAGGATGCAGGGGGGCAAAGCGACAGAGCAAGCCGTGAACTCACGTCCAGAAAGCGGCAGTCCTCCGGGCTGTCCCGAGCCGTGCCTCCCATGGTCTCCTCCGTGTGCGAGCCCGCTCCGAGGTGGAGTCACAGCGGCTCTGTGCTGCACATGCCACA